TATAGACATGGATTATGTGGAAAATGGTTTTTTGGGATTTTCAAAGTTTTGGGAATTGACGAATTCGAAGGAAATGGGAATTCTGAAAAATGAGGGATTCTAAGATTCTAAGATTCTGAGATTCTGTGATTCTGAGATTCTGAGATTCTGAGATTCTGAGATTCTGAGATTCTGAGATTCTGAAATTCTAAAATTCTGAAATTTGGGAATTCTAAAATTTGAGAATTCTGAAATTCTAAAATTTGGGAATTCTGAAATTTGAGAATTCTGAAATTCAGAAATTTGGGAATTCTGAAATTCTGAAACTCTGAGATTCTGAGATTCTGAGATTCTGACCCAAAATTTCTGAGATTCTGAACAAAAATTGCATGAATATCGAAATTCCAAATGCTTCTTGATTTAAAATATCCCACTTTCCATATTCAGAAATTCTAAGAATCCGTAACTTCATTTTTCGATATTTGGAAATTTCGAAAAAACGAAATTTGATAATTTCGAAATTCAGAAAATTTAGAGTTTCAGAAAAGAGGGGGGGGGAGGGGCAAAAACTCCAATAATAATCACTAAGTCGATTTTTTAGAATTTCGGTTATAAAATGAAATTTCCTTCTCTCGAATTCCAAAATTTCGAAAACTGGATCCTAGAAATCGTTTTCAAAAATTTGAAAAAGAAAGTGAAATTTTTCATTTCATATACAGCTAAATTAATTGGGAATAATCTTCCGAGGAACCCGAAATTTAAAGTGGAAAACGGAGAGAAATGCGCGAAGAAATTAGAAATTAGAAAATAAAAGAAGAGGAAGAACATGAAAAAGTCAAATGAAGAGAGAATAATAAAATGAGGGGAATTTCGGGGTAAATCGCCGCCTTTTACCTCTTACCTTTCCGCCAGAAAAAGAAAAGAAAAGAAAAGAACAAGGTCAATTTTTAGAAAAAAGAAGAAGAGGAGGAATTGTGTTCCTTTTAACATTACCCATTGACCGGTAATGGCCATCTTCTTCAATTCTTTTTATGAGATTCCTGAGATAAAAATCTGTGTGTTCCCGAAAAACGCATAAGAAAGAGATTATCCCTTTATATGAATAGTTTATCACCTCTTTGTAAGGATAAAATGGATTAAAAATTACACAAGGCGTGAAGGACATAATGACAGAATATTGACTATGGAAAATAGCTCAGAAGTACAGTACCCCGGAAAATATAAAACTTGGCTTCTTATTTTCAAAACTTCCGAAACTGAGAACTTTCAGATTTTCAAAATTTTCAGAATTTCAGAATACTGGAGTCTCGGATTTCTAGAGTTTCATATTTTCGATATTTCGAATTTGAGAATTTCAGCGTTACTGAACTTTTTGGTGTCTGAATTTCAAACTTTATGAACTTTCAGAATTTCAGAATTTCAGAATTTTGAGATTTCAGAATTTCAGAATTTCAGAATTTTGAGATTTCAGAATTTCAGAATTTCAGAATTTTGAGATTTCAGAATTTCAGAATTTCAGAATTTTGAGATTTCAGAATTTCAGAATTTCAGAATTTTGAGATTTCAGAATCTAGAAATTTCAGGGATTTTTTGAGATTCTGACTAATAAAAAGTTCACAAAAAGTATAGTAAATGAAGGTTTCATGAGGTCAGAAGAAGGTCAAGAAAACGAGGAAACCCTCAATTATCTTGTCATGTTTGGAAAATCAAGGAACCCACTAGATAGGTAGTGTAACGTGAAGTGAAAGCATCTCAGAATCTCAGAATCTCAGAATCTCAGAATCTCAGAATCTCAGAATCTCAGAATCTCAGAATCTCAGAATCTCAGAATCTCAGAATCTCAGAATCTCAGAATCTCAGAATCTCAGAATCTCAGAATCTCAGAATCTCAGAATCTCAGAATCTCAGAATCTCAGAATCTCAGAATCTCAGAATCTCAGAATCTCAGAATCTCAAAATCTCAGAATCTCAGAATCTCAGAATCTCAGAATCTCAGAATCTCAGAATCTCAGAATCTCAGAATCTCAGAATCTCAGAATCTCAGAATCTCAGAATCTCAGAATCTCAGAATCTCAGAATCTCAGAATCTCAGAATCTCAGAATCTCAGAATCTCAGAATCTCAGAATCTCAGAATCTCAGAATCTCAGAATCTCAGAATCTCAGAATCTCAGAATCTCAAAATCTCCAAAATCCAGATTTTCCACTTTTTTCAATTTCTTGAGATAGCCACACCCACTCCAATTGACCTATAAAACACGTATGAAAAGCCATCAATCGCACAGACAAATGACTTTCGGACGTGTTAGAAACTTGACACTTTCTATAGCTTCTTTAAGCTCCGCCCACTTTTTTCGACCCAAAAGTAAAATTCGAGGAAGAAGGAAAAGAAGAAATATGAGATAGAAAATGAGGAAACTTTTATTTTTGCAGAAAAACATAACAAAAAAAACATTGGGTGACAGCTGTGTATATTTTTCTTTTTTCTCTGTGTTTTTTAGAAAAAAAAGTAGAAGTGCAATGGTGAGAGAGAGAGAGAGATAAGCATCTAAATCGGTGTCAAGGGGGATAAGAAGTGCGGGAAATAGAAATAAATCATTTTTGAGAAAGTTTACACTTTAAGAGATGGGATTTTGAAATATTGGAATGTGAAATTTTTAGAGAATTTGAATCTTAACAATTCAGAATAGTGCACAATTGCAAGGGGACAGGCCCGGGCAGGTGGCGGACCGGCTGATAACTTGTTACTAAAACAAGATATTCAGACGGTTTTGGTACCAAATAATAGATCTCGACAGGGTCCATCACGCCTATATTATTTCAGCCGAAATCCGGTCCAACAACATGTCGAAAAATGTGTTTGAATGACAAAAAAAATCTGATTTTTATCAAATTGGTCGAAAATTGTCATTCCAACGCACTTTTCGACATGTTGTTGGACCGGAATCCGGCGTGAATGATATAGACGTGATGGACCCTGTCGAGATCTATCATTTGATACCAAAACTGTCAGAATGTTTCGTTTTAGAGACAAGTAATTAGCCGGCCCGCTTGCAACTATGGAATAATGTAAAATCCAATGTTGAATCTTGAAATCGAAGTTGTGAATATCAGAATCCTAAAATAAATAAAGAACTTTGTCTACGAAAAATTTTCATTATTTAGTTTTAATTATATTTGTCTGTCTTATACGTTTCTGTCTATTACTTCAATGGGAAAATGAATAAAACAATTTAATCTAATTTTGAAAGATTGGGATTTTGAAAAGAGTACACCAGCTGAGCCAAGAATAATGAAGAAATGAGGGTATAAAGCAAATTGTTATAAAATATCCAAATTTATGTAGGGATCAGAACTGGGTCCAAAATGTTCTTTTTACCGATTCCATGAAAACTATAAAATCCCAGCCTTGGTAAAGATATAGTTAAAGATTCGTAGGTTTTCTACGATTTGAAACCCCATGAAGTCGTACAAAACGCTCTGTCGTTGAGGGCTTTGAGCCCAAAAAGTTTCATCCGAAGTGCGAAAATTAGAAAATTAAAAGTGTATGTTTCTTGTCCATCCTCTGCCTTCAATTTTTGTTTTTGTTACAACTGACTCGGCAACTCACAAAGATTGATGGGGTCCTTCTCACTTGCATTTCCCTCATGGCATTTCGGTTTTATGAGTTTTCATTTCTCTTGTCTCAAGAAAAGAAGATGAAACACGTTGTTTCAATTGGGGAGGAACAATTGGTAGCGGAGCACTTGAAAATCGTTTTCATGAAAATTATCACTGGAACATCAAAAAATCCAGGAGTATTAAGGATATTGACCGCTTACATATGGAGGGTTTTTTGAACGTTACATAGTAACGGAAGGATTTTGATCATGAATCGAATGGTGTTAACCGGTTTTCGATAACGCTTCTAGTTTTTTTTCGGTGCGCCCAAAAGCAAGGGAGGGGGGGGGGTCTTAAAGATATTGACCGCACAATATTTCCCATAAGAACAGATCCATAAGAACAGGTGTGATCTAATAAAACCATATTGACTGCCCTAGAAGTCTTTTGTAATATTTGACAGACAATGTTAAAACGCTTAGTTAGTAGGTAGAGGCAGTCTATAATTCTCAGTGTGTTCATTAGTTCTTTTCATTCGTCATTCTCGGCTGGTGGTGGTCCATACTTGCTTCATTTCCCTCAAATATTGGTTTTTTTTTCATTTTGTCATTTTGCTTGATATGTGTCTCAGCTCGGGAACCGTGCTATACCTTGGTAATTTTGCATTTTTTCATTATTCGCAATTTTTTGGTGAATTATAACATTACCAAGAATTTAAATCATGATCAACAACGCTCAACTGACTTTAACTAAAATGTTCGACATTTTTGGAAAGATGGGCATTTAATAACTATGATTTCAGGACCGTGGACTAGGAAATTGTCGTCCATTAGGAGCAACTTTTGAGCGCTGATTGTATCTTCAATAACATTTATTTTTTGTTAGCATTTTTTTTTTGATATTTTTGTCTGGTCCTAATAAGCAACATTGCGGCAGATTATCGGCTAATTGGGATAACTGAAAATTGTGTGAATTGATTTCAAAGTGATAATTCTTAACAGTTTTTCTCTGGAATTTTTTGAGATCTGTTCAGACTTTTGAAAACTCAATTCTCAATTTCAATTTGAAATCACTTCTTTTGTAAAATTTTAGCCCTGATCACAATCTGATTGTACTCCAAGATCATCGATCAGGTTTACCATCCAAAATCGGTTTCCGAAATTCACAGAACGATTATGTTTCCCATAAGAACAGATCCATATGAACAGGTGTGATCTAATAAAACAATATTGACTGCCCTAGAAGTCTTGTGTAGTATTTGACTGACAAGGTAAAGACGCTTAGTAGGTAGAGGCAGTCTATTAGTCTCAGCGTGTTCATTAGTTCTTTTCATTTGGCCTTCTTGGCTGGTGGTGATCCATACTTGCTTCATTTCCTTCAAATATTGGTTTTTTTCGTTTTGTCATTTTGCTTGATATGTTTCTCAGTTTGTGAAAATCGTGATCTGCTTTGTTCTTTTCGCATTACATTCTTTATTATTTACAGAGAACTTTAATCATGGTCAACAACCGTCAACGCAAAGCTATTCGCAAATCAAAGGCATCGGCTGAAGACCAGGCTCAACATGATCGGATCAAAAACCTTCTAAACACATTAGCTCCTTTAGACAGTGCCGCAAACCCACCGGGTCAACACTCCAACACTTCGAGGTAAGATTATGATGTGGAATAGGTTGATTTATGGAAAATAGGGGAAACACCTCAAAATTTTTCAAAAAATTGTTCGAAAAATTCATAGTAGAAACAATTTTCGACGAATTTCTCGAAAAATTTTTGAAACGCATTCATTTTGACATGGTGGCCTACCTTTTGCAAGTTGGGTGTTCTAGGCCACAGCTATTTTTGGCCTAAGAATGGTCTAACATGACCCTGGTACGTAAACGTTATGGTTTGTAGTTTTCTGGTATTCGCCTCGTATGTTTTTAGTCTGTTTTAACATGGTGGTCCTAACTTTTACATGTTGAGTTTTCTAGGCCACAATGGTAAATGGCCTAGAGATCACACCGGGATAATGATAGACAATTTCTATTTCGTAAACTTTGGTGGCATAGTCCGCCACTTCAAACTCAGGGTCAAGTAGGTCATTTATAGGCTTTAAAAAAGTTAGTGGCCTAGAAAGCGTAAATTGTAAAAATTAGGCCACCCCGTAAAAATGTCCAAAAATCGAGAAATCAGTGTCAGCGACGATTTTTCGAAATCCAGAATTGCGAATTTTTCGAGAAGTTTCGAGAGTTTCGAAAAAGTTGTTTCGATCGAAATCAATCAGAACTGAGAAATTTATTAAAGTAAAACGTAATGCACATTCTCCTACAAGACAATTTTTTTCAGCCGTCTGTCTACTTCGAATAACTCAAGGAAGCGACGAATTTCTGTACCAGCTCGGAGACAACCATCTAACACGCGGCCCAAACGTAATGCAAAGGCGTCCGCTGTTCGAGTTAATCATCCCGACAAAGAAGAAGTCGTTTCCAATCCATCCTCGCAAGCATCAACATCCGGATCGGCCTCCGACGGACCAAGAATCAGGGATCGTCAAGCGCAGGTCAACAAACCTCCAGGAATTGTGAGACAAGAACCTATGCGGACTGATAATCCTACTCCTAAAAGAAACGCGAAACCGAAACGACCAATAAAAAAAATACCAGAAAACATCGTTCCGGAGCAGGAACCACCTGCTTCAGAAGTTGAGGATCAAAATGTTGTCGCTCCAGAATCTCAGCAACCAGCTCATGAAGGACCAGATGTCAGTTCTGAAGTTGCCGCAGCAGTGTCTATCGTCCAAGCTCAGCAATCGGCTTTGATTTTTGCACCACCAACACCATCGGCAGAGGATGTCGCAGCTCCCAGAGCATCAGAAGTCATTCCACCATTTGTCTCGGAAGCATCTGCTCTAACACAATCACCACCACAACAACCCCATCAGAATCAAGCGATCGCACCAGCGACACCAACAGCAGTGGTACAATTAGCCGTCGTTCATCTGGATCGGCCACAGTGCCCAGTATATTTGAACGTAAGCAAAATTTTTCGAAAATAATGAATTCTACAATTTTTTACAGGCCGAGAGAGCTGCTCTTTTCCGATTGCCTAACAGATCCAATAATTTCCGCACTTGGAATGTAAGTTTGTTTTTTTAGGATTAACTAGAATTTCAAAAGCAGTACATTTTGAGCTGAATTATCTTGGTTCCTATGAGAGATATCAAAAACTTGCCAACTGATAAAACATTGGTGATGTTTAGATTAATATTTTATTAGTTGGCAAAATTTTGATATCTTTCACGAAAATCGAGATAATTGAGTTGACCTTTTGGGTAGGCTTCTATTAACGGATATACGGTAATGCTATTTTTCGGAAGTCTTCAAACTTTGTCAAAATTTCAATTTTGCTTGAAATTCATTAAGAAATTTTTGAAATCTGCCTAATTTTTAGCTCGGTCCTACCTTTTGAAGTTTTGCTTCAAATTCTATGAAACTTGTATTTTCAAACTTTTCTTTGAAATGGCGTCTTAAAAATACCAAATATTGAAATTTTCAGGCTCGAGATGTGTACGAATGGTTGAGAATGCTACCAAATCAATCGGCGGCTTTCAAAGCCTTACGAGAAAAGCTCTTGGAGTACGACGGATCGGGCGATTTTTTGAACCAACTGCTCAGTGGTCCAGAGAGCGTTAAAAGTGCGTCTGAGATGCTCAACGCTTCGATTCTTCACTGCCACTCTATCAAAAGGCACGTGGCTGCATTGGAGAACTTTCTACTGGAGACGGAGTATAAAGAGGCTGTGCAGAAGTATGAGCAACGAAATAATTAATTGATTGATAACTGAGATTGAAGTGGTATACTGTAAAACCTGTATTAGAAGGGCCGGTCATTCTATTGTTCCAAGGAACCTCCGGAGGCTCCTTCAAATGCAGCTTTTACGGTGAGATGATTAATTATGTTCAAGATAATCTTTTCTTTTTCATTCTCTACCCAAATTTTTCATTTCGATTTAACTTTTTTCTGTAATAAAATAAATTTTTATCAATCGGCGAATTTTACTGTTTTTACGGATTATACGGATACAATTTTACAAAGGTCCATAAAGTTTACGGCTTGTTGAAAATAGTAAAATCTCAGCCCTGGTTCATTCTTGATTTCTGTATATCCAGATGTCCAATCAAAAGAGAAACTTCCCAATCATTTTGTCAACACTCTTTAAACGCCGAAAAAAATTTAAAAAATGGGACACCCACAAAAAGGTGTTGAGAGGTTTTTCGTTCTACTCAAAAAAAACTTTTTCGCGTCCCTTTTTCCGTTTCCTGCTCATCAGCAATTTTTTTCTCGAATAAAGAATTGTCGTCTTCTATTTTCTTCTTTCTCTCCCCTTTCTTACCCAGATGCCTAGTGACGTAAAAAAAGGAAATTGCTTTAATTTTTGAAATTTTTTTAGCATCAGTTTCAAAGTTTGCTCATTTTCCTCTGGTGTCTAATTATTTTGTCCAGGTACTTTGGAATTTTTAAAAATTTTGAATTCAAAAGTTTGATAAACTCCAATTACCGTAAAACTTGTATTAGGAAAGCGCCTTTAATAGAAGGGTCCCTCTAATAGAACTGCCTTCCGAGAGGGGCTTGGAAAACTAGAGGGGCCTTCTGTAAAACAGGACCCCATTTCAAAATGTGTTTTGCAATCAGAAAATTTCCATACTTTTTCAGTACAAAAATATTCCGGGAACTCCACAATTTGATGGGAATATATTGAAACTCTATGTCTCAATGAAAATCTTGCTAAATTTTGGTGAAATTGGTTGTTTTCATGAATTTTGAACTTTGTCGAATTTTCCGTTGAAAAATTTCGGAGAAAACGGCCGGAACAATAGAAGGGCCCCCTCTAATTGAAGTGCACCTGTAATAGAAGGGCCCTCCGGAGGTACCTTGGAACAATAGAAAGGCCGGCGCTTATAATATAGGTTTAACGATAAGAATTTTTTCTCTTCAAAAAATCTCATATCTCTGTTTCTCATATTTTCTCTAAATCTCTTTCTTTTCTTTTTTATCTCTATTTTTTTTATTAAAAAATGCACTTTCAAATGCTTCTATCTCCTCCTCCTAACATGATGTTATATACAAGTAGCAAGTACTTTTTGCTATTTTTCTATTCTCTCTCTCTCTCTTTTTACTTCTAAAGCATTTCCGTTTTTTTCTCTGCTCCCTCTCTTTCACACGTTTCTCTCTCAAAAATTCTTCATATCTTCTTCTCTGTTTTCTCTGTTTTCTCTTCTTGTCTCTTTCTCTCTGAAAGATAAAATCTGCTCTTGAACTCTGCACTCATTGATATTAGTGTAATAAAATGTTAGGAAATATCGGATTTCGTTCCTCGTTACATGCGTTTTGAATTTTCGAGACGAAAGATATTTTTGAGCTGAAATTTTGGTTCAAGGAGGTTTTCAATCTTTTGAGAAAAAGTAATTTTTCAAATACTTTGAAATTTTAAAATTTCAATATCTCCAAAGTTCAAAAATTTAGGATCTGGGCTTCCTTTCAATTTCAATTTTCTTCCAATATATGAATTCTGAATCCTGAATTCTCAATAGAAAAAGAATAGAAATTCAGAATTCACAATGAGGTGCAAATCTTCTCTCTCTCTCTCACTCTCTTTCTCTAGCTTTCCATTTTTTTCAGAATTCCTTTCTCTTTTTTCCTCTAAACACTATAATAGAAAGCCACCCGGAACATTTCATTAGTTAACCACTTTTTGATATCTCTTACAGAAAATGAGGTACATGGGCTAAAATTTGACGATTCGGATGACGCTCTATTAGAGTGTTTACGGTAATTTGATTATTTCTAGTTTATTTCACAAATTTTCCTCAATTTTTAAAACTTGAATACATCATTGAAATGTCAGAATTTCGCGTATTTTTTCCAAATAATTTCAGTTTCTGCTTTTTGAAATTTGGACTTCTTTATGGGCAAAATCATTCTTTCTGTTTATAATTTTCTCCTCCGAATCCCATAGATTTCCCAATAGGTTCCAATTTCTTTTTCTTCTTTTTTTGTTTCTTTTCTCCTGTCTTTCTTCTTTTTTGCTCATTATTTTTCCATCACCATGACAATATTTGGATTTTTCTTCTTCTTTTTTTCTTTGTTTTCTTTTTTAGGTTGTGGGTTTAGAAAAAAAAGGTTCAGGATATTTGAGGTCCCTGGGTCCCTGGGTCCCTGGGTCTCTGGGTCCCTGGGTCCCTGGGTCCCTGGGTCCCTGGGTCCCTGGGTCCCTGGGTCCCTGGGTCCCTGGGTCCCTGGGTCCCTGGGTCCCTGGGTCCCTGGGTCCCTGGGTCCCTGGGTCCCTGGGTCCCTGGGTCCCTGGGTCCCATAAATGCAGTAATCCAATCGGAATTTCAAAATTTGGAGAAAAAGCTGATTCCAGAAAGTCAGTTTAAAATTTCCTTTTTTCAAAACTTTCTGAACTCTGAACATTTATTTCGAAACCTGAGATAATCGGGGAAAAAAGCGTTGAGGCGTAGTTTTTATTTTGTGTGTAACTCAACATTTTTCTCCGCTCGAAAAAAAAGCTAATTTTTTGTTCTTTTTCCTCAAGATTCCGGAAGTTTTAAAAAAGTTTCCGATGACTTTTGGATTCTGAAGGAAACCAAAAGAAATTAGTTTTCGCATCATTTCACAATGAATCGCCTTCTTTTTTTCTTGAGTCAGTAGAATTTTTTTGAATAAAAAGGTTTTTGCTCTTTCATACATTTTCTTGCCTTCTGAAAAATCCCATAATTTTGAATTATTTTTTTCCAGAATTTCAAATATTTTATCTCATTTTTTTCATTTTTTAAAACCAAAAATTTCTCAAAAATTTTAAATTTTGAAGCGTTGAAAATGTCTGAAAAGTTCTTTTTTAGGTTGGAATTATTCATTTTGAGGCTAGCAAACTCCCAATTTACTATCTGAAAACTCAACAATAACCTCTAAAAGTCTGTTATATGAACCTTTAAATTTGCCAGAATCCACTAAAAAATATATAATTTCTCTTGGTTCCTGGCTTTTTTTCATTCGCTCTAATTCCATTAAGAATGCCGGAAAGGGCCTATGAGAAAATAAATTCTACCCTCTTTTTTTTGACACCCCCACTCCCGTTTGCCTTTTTTCTTTCCGTTTTTTTCCCTAAATTTTCTATGCATTTGCATATTTAAATTCGTTTTTTTTTGTCTTTTTTTCGTATTCCAATCATTCGAATCGGGAACTTAAATATTCGAAAAAACAGAAATTCCGATTTTCAAAGTAGGAAATCCGAATTTTTGGGCTCCCATTTTTCAAATTTTCGCAAATTGTCATTACGGAATTCTCCAAATTTTACAAAATTGGAACTACTTTAAAAATATCTATCGATTTCGAACCTTTTCAAATTTTCCGAATTCGAATTTCTGAATTTCAAAATTCGAAATGTCGAAGAACATTTATTTTTTCGGAACTTCGAAACTCGAACTTTCTGATTTTCAGAATATTGGGCGTTTTTCGAAAATGATAAAATGGGATTTCGGATTTTTGAAAACCAAACATTCGGCATATTTTTGAAAAATATTTAAACTGAAATTTCTAATTCTTCAGAATATTCCGAAATTTCAAATTTTCGATTTCGAAATTTCGAAATTATAGTGAATTGTAATGTTTCCAATTTTCGGTGATTTTGGGATTTCGGAATTTCGGAATCACTGAATTTCGAGATTTTGAAAGTTGGAATTCTCAAATTTTTAATTTTCCAAACATCATCAGTTCTGAATCTTCCGATTTTTGAAAACCCAAACCTACATAGGAACACCAGAATTATCCAGTTTCCCAAATAATTCAAACTTTTTAGAATCTAAAATTCGAATTCTCATTTGACCAGTTGCTATTTTAATCGGAATATTTCAGTCTGAATTCTGAATTCCTAAAATTTTCGAAATTTCCAGAATTCTGAATTTCCCATGATATTGTCAAAGAAACAGTTGAATGGATTCTCAAAACAATACAAAAATATATATTGAAAACAAAATAGTGCGATGGTTTTGGAGATTTAGACATGGGAAAATAGAGAAAAAATTCCTTGTGTCTTGCAAGAAAATTTCGATCATTTTCGATAGCATCATCCAAATGCATTTGCTCCTTCTCAATGAGGAAAGGGGCGGTATAGTATTTTAAAGGCGCACATTTTAAAAACTGAAAAATTAACAAAAAAGTTGTCATTACAAAATCAAAGCTCTATTTCTGTTTAGTATGCTCTGAAACTTTCAAACAATTCAAAAAGTTCTGAACTACCGTAAACACTCTGATAGAACGCCCCAAACCGTCAATTTTGAGCCCGTTTATCTCATTTTCTCTGATAGATATCAAAAAGTGGTTGACTAGCAAAGTGTTGCTGACATCATGATAAACATTGTATTAGTTGACAACTTTTTCACAACTTTTTAAAAAAGTGAGATATATGGGCTCAAAGTGGACGCTCCGGGTGGCGTTCCATTAGAGTGTTTACGGTACTTTTGTAGGACTTCAAAGTTGACTATTTTTCCCTGAAAAAGCCAAAAGATCATCTCGTTTTTTTTCTGTATATCAGTGAATATATTTTCCAAAAGATCCTCTAAAATTCTGCTTTCTGGAACATTCTAAAAAGGCTCCAACTTTCAAAAACCCTTCAAAAATTTCATTGACGCAATTTGGAAAAAATCTCCCAATTATTCCGAGTAATCCGATACTTTTTTCCTTGGTATTTTATTCTCCCGGTGCTAAACTTCTCAAGAAGAGTGTGTGAAACGAGTTTCTTCTTCTTCTTTTTCTTCTTTCTCCATCCGTTTTTTTTCCATCATTTACTCCTTCATTCGTCCCTCCAATTGATGTTTTCTTTCGCCTTTTTCCTTCTTTTTGGTCAATTCTTTTGAGAGAAAAAAAACGACATCTTCTTGTTGTTTTTTTCTGCTTTCCAGACATTCTGAGAGAGAAATCTTTTACATTTATTTTCTCTCGGAAAACTTATTTTCTCTAGTTCTTCTAATTTTTCTTCTTAATCTATAGTGATGGGACCAACTGATTTTTGGCTTGATTTTTGGCATTTTTAGACAATTTTTTTGCCTAGTTTTCGTTTTTTACATAATATCGACTTTTCGATTTTCAGATTTCTCTGGAAAAAATGACAGAAAACATTCTGACGGAAGAACGATACATTCGGGATATCACTACGTTTGCCAATAGCTCCAGAGGAGATGTTTGGACGTTGAATAAGGTGAGTTTCTGAAATTCTGAAGTTATAAAGTTCCGAGATTCTGAGATTCTGAGATTCTGAGATCCAAAGATTTTGAGATTCTGAGATTCTGAGATTCTGAAAGTCTGAAATTCTAAAATTCTGAAATTTGGGAATTCTGAAATTCTAAAATTCTGAAATTTGGGAATTCTGAAATTTGAGAATTCTGAAATTCAGAAATTTGGGAGGTCTGAAAAGGTTTCTGAGATTCTAAGATTCTGAGATTCTAAGATTCTGAGATTCTAAGATTCTGAGATTCTGAGATTCTGAGATTCTGAGATTCTGAGATTCTGAGATTCTGAGATTCTGAGATTCTGAGATTCTGAGATTCTGAGATTCTGAGATTCTGAGATTCTGAGATTCTGAGATTCTGAGATTCTGAGATTCTGAGATTCTGAGATTCTGAGATTCTGAGATTCTGAGATTCTGAGATTCTGAGGTTCTGAGATTCTGAGATTCTGAGATTCTGAGATTCTGAGATTCTGAGATTCTGAGATTCTGAGATTCTGAGATTCTGAGATTCTGAAATTCTGAGATTCTGAGATTCTGAGATTCTGAAAGTCTGAAATTTTAAAATTCTGAAATTTGGGAATTCTGAAATTTGAGAATTCTGAAATTCAGAAACTTGGGAGGTCTGAAAAGGATTCTGAGTTCTAAGATTCTGAGATTCTGAGATTCTAAGATTCTGAGATTCTGAGATTCTGAGATTCTGAGATTCTGAGATTCTGATATTCTGAGATTCTGAGATTCTGGGATTCTGAGATTCTGAGATTCTGAGATTCTGAGATTCTGCGATTCTGAGATTCTGAGATTCTGAAGTTCTGAGGTTCTGAGATTCTGAGATTCTGAGATTCTGAGATTCTGAGATTCTGAAAGTCTGAAATTCTAAAATTCTGAAATTTGGGAATTCTGAAATTCTAAAATTCTGAAATTTGGGAATTCTGAAATTTGAGAATTCTGAAATTCAGAAATTTGGGAGGTCTGAAAAGGATTCTGAGATTCTGAGATTCTGAGATTCTGAGATTCTGAGATTCTGAGATTCTGAGATTCTGAGATTCTGAGATTCTGAGATTCTGAGATTCTGAGATTCTGAGATTCTGAGATTCTGAGATTCTGAGATTCTGAGATTCTGAGATTCTGAGATTCTGAGATTCTGAGATTCTGAGATTCTGAGATTCTGAGATTCTGAGATTCTGAGATTCTGAGATTCTGAGATTCTGAGATTCTGAGATTCTGAGATTCTGAGATTCTGAGATTCTGAGATTCTGAGATTCTGAGATTCTGAGATTCTGAAAGTCTGAAATTTTAAAATTCTGAAATTTGGGAATTCTGAAATTTGAGAATTCTGAAATTCAGAAATTTGGGAGGTCTGAAAAGGATTCTGAGATTCTGAGATTCTGAGATTCTGAGATTCTGAGATTCTGAGATTCTGAGATTCTGAGATTCTGAGATTCTGAGATTCTGAGATTCTGAGATTCTGAGATTCTGAGATTCTGAGATTCTGAGATTCTGAGATTCTGAGATTCTGAGATTCTGAGATTCTGAGATTCTGAGATTCTGAGATTCTGAGATTCTGAGATTCTGAGATTCTGAGATTCTAAGATTCTGAGATTCTGAGATTCTGAGATTCTAAGATTCTGAGATTCTGAGATTCTGAGATTCTGAGATTCTAAGATTCTGAGATTCTGAGATTCTAAGATTCTGAGATTCTGAGATTCTGAGATTCTGAGATTCTGAGATTCTGAGATTCTGAGATTCTGAGATTCTGAGATTCTGAGATTCTGAGATTCTGAGATTCTGAGATTCTGAGATTCTGAGATTCTGAGATTCTGAGATTCTGAGATTCTGAAAATCTGGAACTCTCTTTTTCAGACTTTAAAGTTTTGAAGTTCCAGAAATTTAGAAATTGAAGTTTCTTAAATTCTTAGGCTCTAAAAATCTGAAAAGTTCAGAATCTAAAATTCGGGTTTTCGAATTTCTCTGTTTCAAAATTTTGAGATTTTGAGATCTGTAAGTTTTAAGGCTTAAAAATTTTGAGAATCATAATTTAAATCTGGAACATTTGAAATTTGAAGAATCTAATTTCTTCCCCGAAATTTCCATATTCCATACTTTTCAGACACCCTTCGGAATCACGGCCAAACAATCTGCAATTTGTCGTTTCGATGATCATATTATCAATAGACAATCTCAATTTCAATACAATAGAAAGTTGGTTAGACTCGAGTTGTGGTTCATGTTCTATTGCCGAAGTGAGTATTTTTGGAAGATTTTGGAAGGTTAATGAAAAACAAGTATCGACCGGAAAGTTTATGGAAAGTGCCAATTATCTGAAGGGAAACTTTTCTAGGTCATAACTCAGCTCACGTGAGCATTTTGCTGATTTTTTAAACATATTTGGAGTCCTCATAAGCTCTTCTATCTGCTCTCAAAATTTCAAAAAAGTTAAACCCGCCCCTTCAAGTAACTCCCTTATTAGATTACTGTACTCTGCGTACTATAGGTATACTGCAAACCAGTTGATGTCATAGACAGTACCTTCCAGTGAATTACTGTAAGACTACTACTGGTTTTCCAAGTATAATAATCTTTTTATTCAACGGAGCGCGCAAAATTTTTTAAACCTAGGACAGTGTGTACCGTAAGATTACTGTACCGAGAAGTACTGTAGGATAACTGTGAATAATTTAAATCAAAATTTTATAACCTGCAAAAACTTTGGCCATGGAAACTAGGCCACTATTTCAAACGATTATTTTCCAGATGGCCGGCCAATGAGAGTTCGAGAAATCGCAGAGATTCTTGGCACAAAGCCAGAAGAGAATGATGCGATTGTGATCGAATTATCGACGCATCCAACATTGGGAATACCGTACTACAAACTGTATAAAAATCCAGAATATTCCGGTGATCCAATGGGTGGAAAAGTGCCCGATGAAGAGAATTATGTAGAGAGGTAAAATGATTTTTTGGGATTTGGAATTTTGGGAATTTCTTGAATTTTCAATTGGGTTGGGTGTCCGAATTCTTGAAATCATCGAAAAGAATTCTGTAATTTCAAAAAGTTGACTTTCTGGGATTCTAAGATTCTGAGATTCTAAAATTCTGAAATAACAAGCTTCTTAGAGTCTAGGATTCTGAGAATCTGAGATTCTGAAATTTTGAAAATCTGAGGTTCTGAAATTCAGAACTTCCTAGAACCCAAGTTTTGCAGTTTGAAAATTTGAAAATTTTGTTTTTTTTTCAAACTTTTTATTCAGAAATCTCAAAGTTCAATATCAAAATTTTCGAGAACTGCCGAAAATTCTAGAATGCTGTGGTCATTCTGTCGAAAATCGGAGGGGTCATTTCTTTGATAAGAAACTCAACATGTTACGATTTTTCGAAATTTTGACAGGTTTCCAGTTTTTCTTATCTAGTGTCTTCGAAAAATTGAAAAATTTGAAACATTGAAATTCCGATAAAAACCTTTAAAACCAGAAAAAATTAAAATATCGGAATCTCAGAATTTCAGAATTTCAGAATTCCAGATTCTCAGAATCTCAGAATCTCAGCATCTCAGAATCTCAGAACCTCAGAATCTCAGAATCTCAGAATCTCAGAATCTCAGAATTCCAGATTCTCAGAATCTCAGAATCTCAGAATCTCAGAATCTCAGAATCTCAGAATCTCAGAATCTCAGAATCTCAGAATCTCAGAATCTCAGAATCTCAGAATCTCAGAATCTCAGAATCTCAGAATCTCAGAATCTCAGAATCTCAGAATCTCAGAATCTCAGAATCTCAGAATCTCAGAACCTCAGAACCTCAGAATGTCAGAATCTCAGAATCTCAAAATTTGACAATTTTTTCCAGGTGGATTTCAGCGTTCGGAGCCGAAGCAGGTCTAGTCCAAAACCTTCAAAAAATGTCAACCTATTCAGAATGCAATTCGTCGTGCAACCAATCCACGACTAGTACCGAAGATTCCTAGGCACGAAATTTAAATTTTTCGTAAAAAAATAAGTTTATTTTGTTCATTTTTTCCCCTTATCTTTCCATTTTTCACCAGCAATAATAGCCTTGAAAATATACTGTTAAGAACGGGTTCTGTCTATTTTTTTTTGAAAATAAAATCATAAAGTTTGTACTTTTGTTTTTTTTTGTTCTTTTCTTTTCAGACACTAAAAAAGATACTTTGCTCTCCAAAAATATGAAGAAAACATCAGAACTTTTTTGATAAAAAGTTTGATGATAACCCACAAAAATATTATCTTTCTAGCTTCGTTTTGATTTTAAGAGGAATGCAAATATCCATAACTTTCAGTTTTCTGAGATTCTGAGATTCTGAGAGTTTTCAAGATTATTTTTGTTCCTCTTGAAGTTTCAGTATTCCAAATTCAAAATTCTGAAATTCAGGAGCTTCAAACATTCTATGAGGTTTCTATCAAAGTTTTGAGATTTCAAAATTTTCAATTTTTCGACGACACTAGATAAGAAAAACTGGAAACCTGTCAAATTTCGAAAAATCGTAACATGTTGAGTTTCTTATCAGAGAAGAAATGACCCGTCCGGTTTTTGACAGAATGACCAGAGCATTCTAGAATTTTCGGCAGTTTTCAAAAATTTTCCCGAGTTTCTAGAAGCTTCTAGAAATTTACAAAACTTGAATTTCAGATTTTGATTTTTAGGCACTTTAAATTTTGCAATTCTGGGATTCTGTAATTTTGAATATCTAAAAAAGATGTAATTCTTTAAAAAAAGAAGAAGCAATTTATAAAAAAGTTTCAAATTCTAATGACAAGAGCTTTCGGAATTTTGAATTTCAGAATTTTATGAGTTTCCAAATTTCGGTGTTTCCGAATTTCTGAATTTCTGCATTTATGAATTTCCGAATTCCGGAATTTCCGAATTTCTGAATTATTGACATTCTTTCCGATCTTTGGAATCCCTAGAAGTTCAAATTTTGAACTTTTCTAGGAAATTCGTAATATCGGAAATTTTGGAATTGTCAAAACTTCAGATACCCAAAATAAACTTCCAGAATATTCTAAAACATTTTTCATTTTTCTAGAAACTTCTTCTACCTATTTTTACGACCATTTTCCGAGTCTAGACTCCTTGGAAAATGTGTCGGTTTTCATCGAAAAACGCGTTTTTTCTTCAAAAAAAAAACGAAACAATAAGGTGATGATAACACAAATATTTGTACTCTGGAGTGTTTTTTGCGGTCTCTTTTTTCAATTTTTTCGTATATTTTTTCATGTAAACAGTTTAGATCAAAAGGACCGCCAAAGTGTTTTCTTAACCAAAAAAAAAACGTTTTCTAGGATATACAGCTGCTCCGAAAATTGCAAGCTCCGCCCATTTTGTAGAATAGGATAAAAGAGAAAACTGGAATCTAGAAATGTGAGAACCTAGGACTTTTTTATTCGTTTTCATATGAATCTATATAATATTCTTCTGATCCTTTTACTCCAATAGAAATGTTGGCTCACAGCTAACTACAGTACCCACGTTTAAGAAAAGGAATCTCCAAATCGGAATGTTCGGCAATTCGGAAATTCGGAATTTGGTAGTTCAAAGATTTGGCAGGAATCTAAAGTTTTGAATTTTCGAATTTCTAAAAAAAAATTATGTGGGACGTTTCAGCTCGAAATCTCTTGCTTCAAAGCTTAAAGTTACAATTTATCAACAGAGCGCGGTTTCTACTCAGTCAACATACAAAGTTCCCCGTGCTCTTTGTCTTCTCCTCTTCCAAACCAAAAGGACAACACATGTTGTTCTCTCCCTCAGTGTCATTTGCACTTTTTAGCGCCAGCGATGGCTTCGGCGCGGTCACTCCGCCTCCTCCATTCAGTTTCTCTCGTTTTCTCCTCTCTTATCATCAATTTTTCGTTCATTTCGTCAAAAAAAACTTGATAATGGCTGTCGGGTTTGCAGGAGGAGAGTGGTCACTCTCCGAGGATTTTTTGCTTTTCCAAAATTTTCCAACTTTGGCAACTTTTCTGGTGATAAGCGGGTCTATGGGTTGATTGGAGCTCATTAGAGCTAGCCTCGAAAGCTAAATTCTAAAAAGTTTTGAATTTTTTTGCTCAATTTCATAGATCAGAATTTCAAATTTGAGACGGAATTATAATTTCTCTTATCAATTCTTATCAAAACTGACCCTTCTTTCCTCTCCTATCCGCTTAAAGTGACCACTGATAGCAGAGAAGCTCAATTTTACTCTAGGATTTTCTGATTTTCCTGTTTCTTGCAAGCAATTTTAGCTCAGCGAATCCAAAATTTTTTATCGTTTTTTGAAGCAAAATATTGTCGGATTAAAAAAAGTGACACCTGAAAATCTCGGAGACGGCGCTCGTGTCGATTTACGAGGGGGCGGAGCGAAAACGGATACTGTAGATAACGAATTTATTTATGTGAATTTAGTGGGATTTTCTGAACAAAATTTTGATTTCTTGATATAAAAATGATCGCTACCATCTCTAGAATCTATTTTTTGGCAAAAAACTAAAATTAAACTCGAAAGTAGCTCGAACGAGCCGAAATTTTGAAATATTGCGTTTTTGCCGCACTTTTTCGTAGATCAAAAAAAGCAAAAGTTTTCAAATTCTCAGGTGTCACTTTTTTTAATTCGACAATATCCGCAAAAAAAGAACTTCTCGAATTTTATCGGAAATCGTGTCGAACCCTCCGCTTGCATAGCATGTTCCTTTAAAGTGTTACGGTAGAAATTTGAGCGGTTTCGCCGAAAATTCAAATAGTTTGAGTTGTTTTTCACTATTTTAGCCGGCTAATTTATAAAATTATGCCGCCAAATAAATATTTTTATTTTCTCACACACACTCAATCTCTGGTTAGAATTCAAAAGTAACACTCACACACAGACAAAGTAAACATCACATGTTTTTTTCTCAAATTTCTCCGTTCTTTTTATGTTTTATTTTTCCTGTCTTTTTTCTCACTCTGGCTATATCCCTATTTTTCCTTGAGTCTCTTTCTCTTTTTTTTCACAAAAAAAAACGGATTTTCGACTAATTTGGCGCTGAAAATGGCCGAAATTTCAAACGTATTCTCAGTATTTTCAATAAATCCAGACTTCCAGAAAATGCGGAACGTCGAGGATGAGCTGCAAGTTTTTTTTCAGCTTTTTCAGCATGTGAATCTGGCTTCCTTTCTCTGAAAAAATTCTGTTTTTGCGCTATTTTTCAGGAAATCGTGTCGAGACCCAGTTCCCTTTCGAAGCATGTGCCTTTAAAGTGTTACGGTGAAATTTGAGCGGTTTCGCCGGGAAATTCGAATGCTCTTCCTTGTTTTTCACTGTTTTTTCAGCTAAAAATCATTTTTACAAGATAATTTTTCTATACAAAAAATGATTTTTCGGTGATAAGATAAATTTTTGGATGTTTATCAATAAGATAGAAAACTCTCCGAAGAATCTATCTTATCTCTGAAAAAACACTATAAATATGCGCAGATTTCCAGCAGTTTTCGCTTTTTTCCTCTATTTTTTTCTTTCAATTTACCGAATTTTTCCCCTCAAAAATGAAATTTTCAGTCGCGGACGAATGCATTGGGAAAGCATGAAAGCGACGTTGCACCTCGAAGACGGGTCTTCGTTCGTAGGTTCGATTTATGGAGCCACGAAGAGTGTCGTCGGAGAAATTGGTGAGAAAAAATTCCCGAGATTTTGGCGGAAATTTGGATTTTTTCTAATTTTCAGTCTTCCAAACGGGAATGGTCGGTTATGTGGAATCTTTGACGGATCCATCATATGCGAAACAGCTTCTGACACTCACCTACCCGCTTATCGGAAACTATGGGGTCCCAGACACAGAGATTTTGGACAAATTCGGACTTCCCGCCGAATTCGAATCGGATCGTGTGTGGCCGGCGGCGTTGATTGTGGAGAAACTGTGTGTTGATGGGGAGCATAGTCATTGGCAGGCGGTTCAATCGCTGTCTGAATGGCTGAGAAAGGCGGATGTTCCGTGTTTGTCAGGAATTGATGTGAGACAGTTGGTGAAGAAGATTCGAGAGACTGGAAGTATGAAGGTTGGTCTTTTTTTTTACTACTGAAACACCGAGTTTTTTTGCCAGCTGAAAATGGCGCTTCACTTGAAAATAATTTAAGCCCCGCCCATTATTTCCAGGCAAAACTAGTCATCGAATCGGACTGCGCGAAAACCCTCGATTTCGTCGATGTAAATGCTGAAAATCTGGTGGACTTTGTTTCTCGAAAAGAGCCAATTACCTATGGAACAGGCGATCAGACGATTCTCGCTGTCGACTGTGGACTCAAAAATAATCAGATTCGTTGTCTGGCGAAACGTGGATTCAAAGTCAAAGTGGTCCCATGGAATCATTCGATCGATGTGGAGCGAGATTATGATGGTCTCTTCCTGTCAAATGGTCCAGGAGATCCAGAAGTTTGCGGAGAGCTCGTTGATCGGCTTGCCAAAGTGATCGCTCGAGGGGATAAGCCAATTTTTGGAATCTGCTTGGGACATCAGGTGTTGAGCAGAGCCATTGGAGCAAAAACGTATAAGTTGAAGTGAGTGATTTTAGTAGTCTAGAAAGATGAAAATCTGTGGCCTAGCTTTTGCAAGTTGCTTTTTTCTAGCCCACCCTGGTGAATGTCCTAGAAAAGACCTTTCCATCATGGTGGCCTAGGTTTTGCAAGTTGAGTTGATCAGCCACCAACTTTTATGACCTAAAAACTGCCTGATACTAACCTAGTGTGTTTTCTAGACAACTTGAATATAGTGGCCTAACTTTTACAAGTTGAGTTTTCTAGACCACCACGACAAATGACCCAGACGTGGCTTAATATTCTCCTGGGTTACTTTCTAGGTCATTTCGACATGGGGGCCTAACTTTTGCAATTCCAAATTTTTCTAGGCCCCTACTTTTATAGTTCGAACGAATTCTCGAAATTTCATCCGAAAAAAAACACTGCTTCCAGATACGGTAACCGTGGTCACAACCAACCATGCACGCACTACGCCACCGGTCGCTGCTACATCACATCTCAAAATCATGGTTACGCAGTGGACACTGAATCCCTTCCAACCGATTGGAAACCTCTCTTCACCAATGAGAACGACAAGACGAACGAGGGAATCGTACACGCTTCGAAACCATTTTTCAGTGTTCAATTCCATCCAGAACACACTGCCGGCCCGACGGATTGCGAGTTTTTGTTCGACGTTTTTGCAAATGCTGTCAGACAAGCGAAGAATGGAGTTTTCATGAACGTCGATCAGGAGCTGACTCGTCTGATGACCTTCAATCCCATTTACCACGCCAAACAGCAACGGAAAGTGCTCGTTTTGGGATCCGGAGGTCTAACCATCGGCCAGGCTGGCGAATTCGACTATTCTGGAGCACAAGCACTGAAGGCGTTGAGAGAAGAAGGCATCCGAACTGTTCTTATTAATCCCAACATCGCTACAGTGCAGACATCCAAAGGGTTCGCAGATTTCACATATTTCCTTCCAATTACCAAGGAATATGTGACCGATGTGATTAAGAAGGAGCGGCCAACAGGAATTCTCTGTGGATTCGGTGGACAGACTGCCTTAAACTGTGCCATCGACTTGTACAAGGATGGAATCTTCGAACAGTATGATGTGCAGGTTCTGGGAACTCAGATCACTACGATTATGAAGACAGAGGATCGAGATTTGTTCAATCAAGAGATTTCGGCGGTTGGAGAGAAGGTTGCGCCAAGTAAGGCAGCTACAACAATGGAGGGAGCTATCGAGGCGGCTGAAGAACTCGGCTATCCGGTGCTGGTCCGTGCGGCTTATGCACTTGGTGGACTTGGATCTGGATTCGCTGACAATCGAGAGGAGTTGATAGCGATTGCTCAGCAAGCGTTGGCTCATTCGAATCAAGTGCTGGTCGATAAGAGTTTGAAGGGATGGAAAGAAGTGGAGTATGAGGTTGTGCGAGACGCCTATGACAACTGTATCACTGTGTGTAATATGGAAAATGTGGACCCGCTTGGTATTCATACTGGAGAGAGTGTGGTCGTCGCGCCGTCGCAGACACTGTCGGATAAGGAGTACAACGCGTTGAGAACGTGTGCGATCAAAGTGATTCGGCATTTGGGAATCATTGGAGAGTGCAATATTCAATATGCATTGGATCCGAATAGTCTTACGGTAAGCTTTGGAAAAATTAGCTAAAAATAGGCTAAAAATGGCTGAGGACGTGCTGAAAATAGGCTAAAAATGAGCTAAAAATCTCTGAAAAAGGTTTGAAATAGGCTGAAATTGACTGAAAATGACTGGAAATGACTGGAAATGACTGGAAATGAGGCTAGGCAGGCTAAAATCAAGCTAGAAGTAAGTTTAAAATAACATTAAAACTAGGCTGAAATAGGCTTAAAAAGGCTGAAAATGAGCTAAACAAGGCTGAAAATAGGATTAAAATGACTGAAAGTGAGATTAGAATAGGCCGAAATAGATAAGAATAAGCTAAAAATAGGCTGAAAATTACTGCACATGAGATTGAAAATAGGCTAAAATGGCTGAAATCGAGCTGGAAATGAGCTAAACATAGACTGAAGTTGATCGAAAATCGTTGAAAAAGGTTGAAAATATGTTGAAATGGCTGAAAATAAGCCGAAAAATAGGCTGAAATGACTCAAAATCTCTGAAAAAAGTTGAAAATGAGCTTAAACTGATCAAAAATGAGCATTAAATCTGGAAGTCTTGTATTCCAAAATTCTCAAAAACCTCTAAATTTTTCCAGTACTACATCATCGAAGTCAACGCTCGTCTCTCCCGATCGTCAGCTCTTGCCTCCAAAGCCACTGGCTACCCATTGGCCTACGTTGCAGCAAAACTAGCCCTCGGACAACATCTTCCAGTGATCCGCAACAGTGTCACTGGAACCACAACCGCCTGCTTCGAGCCAAGTTTGGACTACTGTGTCGTCAAAATTCCACGTTGGGATCTCGGAAAGTTCGCGAGAGTCTCCACTCAAATCGGAAGTTCAATGAAGTCGGTCGGAGAGGTTATGGGAATTGGAAGATGTTTCGAGGAGGCACTTCAGAAGGCGTTGCGAATGGTTTCTGATCATGCCGACGGCTTCTCACCGTACACATTCAGTCGTCCACCAACTGCTGATGATTTGGAGAAGCCGACTGATAAGAGAATGTTCGCGCTGGCTCGAGGAATGTATTACGGAGATTTTGATGTGGAAAAAGCGCATGCGCTGACTGCAATCGACCGTTGGTTCTTGTTTAGAATGCAGAATATCGTGGATATTTATCATCGGTTGGAGAAAGAGGATGTGACGACGGTGACTGGAGAATTGTTGTTGGAAGCGAAGCAAGCTGGATTCTCTGATAGACAGATTGCTAAAAAGATTGGAAGGTGGGCAATTTTTTGATTTCAAAATTTAATTTTTCTTTCCAGCAACGAATACACAGTCCGCGAGGCGCGTTTCGCCAAAGGAATCACTCCATGTGTGAAACAAATCGACACCGTCGCCGGAGAATGGCCAGCACAGACCAATTATCTCTATACGACATTCAACGGAGTCGAAAACGATGTTCGTTTCAATATGAAGAACGCTGTGATGGTTCTGGGATCAGGAGTTTATCGAATCGGATCGTCAGTGGAGTTTGACTCATCGTGTGTGGGATGTATTCGTGAATTGAAGGTTTGTCTAGACACGTCTTCAATTATCTGGGTTTCTGAAAAGGTGGCACTTTTCTGATAACGTCTTACTGTAACTGAGATGCTTTAATAGACTGGCACTTATAGGTGCGGTCTTCCGTTAATAAAATTACCTTAAAACCTCTAATAGAAGGGCCTCTTACTCATACCTTCGAGCTCAATTATCTCGGTTCTTTTGAGAGATATCAAACATCTGTCAACTAATAACATGTTAATGATTTTATGATAAACATTTTATCAGTTAACCGATGTTTGATATCTTTCACAAGAAACGAGATAATTATGGTCATAATACGATAAATGACATTAAATGACACCCAGACCTATTGAATTGTTTTCCAGGCCCTCGGCTATTCGACAATCACTGTGAACTGCAATCCAGAGACCGTCTCCACTGATTATGACATCTGCGATCGTCTTTATTTCGAAGAGATCTCATTCGAAACTGTCCTCGACGTCTACCATCTCGAACAACCAAAAGGAGTGATCTTGGCGTTCGGAGGTCAAGCACCAAACAATATCGCGATGAGTTTGAGTCGTGCACAAGTGAAAATCTTTGGAACATCTCCAAATGATATCGATAATGCTGAGGATCGATTCAAGTTCTCTAGAAAATTGGAATCGTTGAAGATTAGTCAACCACTGTGGAAGAAGAGTGAAAACATGGAAGATGCGAAGAATTTCGCGGCACAGGTGAGTTGTTTTTTGAAAATTCAGAAAAATTTTATGTTTTCCAGGTCGGCTATCCTTGCCTCATTCGTCCATCATATGTGCTCTCGGGTGCCGCAATGAACGTAGCTCACAATGCCGAAGATCTCGAAGTGTTCCTGAAACAAGCGGCCGTGGTAGCCAAGGAACATCCAGTTGTGGTCAGCAAATTCATCAACGAAGCCAAAGAGCTGGACGTGGATGCTGTGGCGATGAATGGGAAACTGGTTGTGATGGCCATCAGTGAGCACATTGAGAATGCTGGTGTTCATTCGGGCGACGCCACGTTGGTCACCCCCGCACAGGATATGAATAAGCTCACTTTGGATCGAATCAAAGACATCACATATCGAATTGCCGAGGCTTTCAATGTCAACGGACCATTCAATATGCAGCTGATCGCCAAGAACAACGAGCTGAAAGTGATCGAATGCAACTTGAGAGTGTCCAGATCATTCCCATTCGTCTCCAAAACTCTTGACTATGATTTCGTGGCACTCGCTACGCGTGCAATGATGGCTGAAGACTCTCCAGCAATCCGAGCCACTATCAAACCAACAGCGACGTTGCTCAAAGGAAAGGGAAGAGTTGGAGTCAAAGTACCACAATTCTCGTTCTCACGACTCGCTGGAGCCGATGTGATGCTTGGTGTTGAGATGGCGTCGACTGGAGAGGTGGCGTGCTTTGGAACGTCGAGATGTGACGCGTATCTGAAGTCTCTGCTTTCCACTGGATTCGTCGTGCCGAAGCGAAACATTTTCATCTCGATCGGAGGCTATCATGCGAAGGCGGAAATGTTGAAGTCGGTGGAGACGTTGCAAAAGTTGGGATTCGATTTGTATGGATCTAAGGGTACGGTTTTATTGGTTCGATTGGAAGTTCTAAACAAGAGCGAAATTTGAAAAACGGTCTAGAAGTTTTTTAGTTAGGCCACCATATCAAGATGGCCTAGAAAACAACCTTGATTACAAACAGGACCGTTCTAGACCACTCACCATGGTGGCCGAGAAAACCCAACTCGCGAAAATTAGGCCACTATGTTAAAATGACCTAGAAAACACATCAGTTAGATGTCTAAGGATTTCTAGGCC